TTACCTCAAAATGTTGCCTTGTTATGCATCACTAACCCAACTTTTCAAGGTATACACTTTATCAACACAATTGAAAGGTAAGTGACTCAAAATGGCTTCTTTTTTTTATTCTTTTTTTCAAAGGTAAGTGACTCAATATGTTGCCATGTCTAGGGCTTGCCAATACCATGTTCAATAAAAAAATTGATGTCAAAACAGACAAAGTACAAGCCAAATAGCCAACTCTTCCCCCATAAACTTCATATATAGAACAACCCATTTCCATACACTGCTAGCAAGCTTTCTCTCCACTTGTCAGACACAAACTCAATTTTTAGTTTTGCATTGCCCATCCCATTTTCATACATATATAGCTTTCCTTTCATTTCTGAAACGCAAACACAACCCCTTCACTATGGTGAATTGCCACATTCTCCTTCTAACTTTTCCAGCACAAGGCGCCATCAATCCGTACATCCAATTTGCCAAGAACCTCGTATGAATGGGTGTTAAGGTCACCATTCTCACAAGCCTCTCCGCTCACCGTCACTTGAAAAATTCCAACAGCTCAATCCCAAAAGGCTTATCCTTATCTGCTTTCTCCGATGGGTATGATGACGGGTACAAAGCCGGGATCAACCACGCACACACTTCCGGTCTGAGCTCAAGATGCGCAATTCCAAAGCCATGGCAGAACTCATCAAGGCCAGTGCTGAAGAAGGATACCCGATAAGTTGTTTGGTCTATGTTATGCTTCAACCATAGGCTGCTGAAGTTGCTCATGCCCATCACATCCCATCTGCACTTCTATGGATTCAACCAGCCACAGTTTTCGATATCTACTACTATTATTTCAATGGTTATGGTGATGCCATTAGAGAAATTGGCAATGACCCTTCAAGCTCTGTTCAGTTACCGGGTTTGTTTGCTAGCTAGCCGCGATCTTCCCTCCTTTCTAGGCCCTTCACACACACATAATTACAATTGGGCACTCCCAACGTTTAAAGAGCAGCTAGACATGCTTGATGCCGAAACCAATCCAAAAATACTCGTGAACACATTCGATGCAATAGAGCTAGAGGCCTTAAGAGCTATTGACAAGCACAATTTGATCCCAATAGGGGACCATTAATAGTCCCCTCTGAAGCTTCCTTTAGAGGGGACCTCTTCCAAAAATCAAACGGTTATGTTGAGTGGTTAAATTCAAAGCCTGAATCATCGGTTGTTTATGTAGCATTCGGAAGCATGGCCATGTTGTCGAAGCAACAAATGGAGGAGATTGCACGTGGGTTGCTGGAAAGCCATAGGCCAGTAATGTGGGTGATAAGAGCAAAAGAAAATGGTGATGGAGAAGAAGATAAATTGGGTTGGTTAGAAGAATTGGGACAAGAAGGATCGATAGTGCCATGGTGTTATCAAGTGGAAGTTCTATCACATCCATCAGTGGGATGTTTTTTGAGTCACTGTGGGTGGAATTCTTTGTTGGAGAGTTTAGTTTCTGGGGTGCCTGTGGCGTGGTTTCTGCAGGTGATGGATCAAATGACAAATGCAAAGCTTATTCAAGATGTCTGGAAGGTGGGAGTGAGAGTAGTGACAAATGAAGAAGGAATAGCAGACAGGGAGGACGTTAGGAAGTGTATAGAAATGGTGATGGGAGGAGGAGAAAGGGGAAGAGAAATGAAAGGAAACGCAGAGAAATGGAAGCAAAAGGCCATGGGAAGCTATGAAGGATGGTGGATCATTGGATAAGAATCTTAAGGCTTTTGTGGACGGACTTGGAGATGGTCATTAGTAGCTGGGAGTGAACTTTATTCATGAAAATGAAAATGGTGTCTTTTGAAAGAAGAAAAAAAATTCCTTTTGATTGTTTCATTAAACCTTTTTATTTAATTATTTGTATTTACTTTTCCTTTATTGGTGGCATTTGTAACTCAATCCAGCAAATAAATTTTTGTTTTCTTAAATGTGTAAGCAATAAAATAATTAGTTTGTAATGGAAATAGGACTATTCTATCATTCTTGTTCTTAATATACCTTTCTTTCCTAATCCAATACTGGCTACTATTTTATTTTAATTTTATTTTGTACATTTTAACTTTCTAGTAATTTTATTCCATCATTTTCTATGTCAAGACTCCCCCATGCAGATATTGTTCATTTTATGCTTACGCTGAACAAAGGCTCTCTATTGTCAAGACGCCTACACAAGTATGAGACACCCCTCACAGTTCAAAACCAAGTCGCACTATATTAATATATGAGCAAACTTAGATGTGACCTAACAGTTTTTTGCCAATATTAACTAAAAATAAGTTTTGCATCCCGAACTTAAATAAGAAATAAATTAACGTAAATTAACATGTTCTAATAAAACCCAAAAGAACCATCTTGGTGTTCTTGTCACCTGAAATTTTTAAGGAATGGGTGAGCTCGACAGCCTAATAAGTTAAATACTTGTTTTTCCTAATAAAAAGTTTTGCAATTTCTGTTATTTTAAAACACATTATCATTCTAAATAATTGAACAAAATGTCTATTGGCCAGATCTAACAAAGGTAATTTAAACATACATGAATAATAAAATGTCATCAGATAAAATGTACAGGCACAATCGGTTCCAAAACACTTTTAATGCAATAATGCATGTCATGAATGCAAGTAATGCAATAATGCGTACTCTAGAGCTGAGTTTTCCAAATTTATAAGATATAATTTTGTCACCTAGAAAGCATGGACACTCTCTCTAAATAGTGTCGTGGCAGGTCAATTTTATGGCTGGATACGTGTCCAACACTGTTCCAAAGTATCTTGAAGTTTGTACCATTATTTTCTTAGTTGGACATGACTAGAACACTTTCGAAACACAATGAGACAATTTTGTAATTTCTTTTAAACGATATCTCAATATGATTCTGAACCGTATTAAGGGTTAATAATAATAATTTAAATTTTAAAAAGCAAAACAAATGCCCAGTAGCCTAATTGGTGAAGGAATTAGTAATTACATTTATGTTATTGTGTCTAAATTGAGTAAAAACTAAATTTTTATATAATAATATATGGGTATTTTTCACAAGGTGTACTAGTATGGTACACCCACAGCAATGATAGAGGAAGAGAAAGACCAAGTTGAGCAAAATATATGAATATTTTATTATGGTGCACCTATCTTACTTTTTTTTTTTTTAAAGATTTGTCATTTCATTGTTAGTGGCGATGTTGTGACAAATCAGCTTATTTCTGGCATCAGCAAAGACAAACACCAAAACCCAAGCAGGCCAATATTAAAAATTTGTTGAATTAGCAAGTGCATGTCTTTTAGAAATAAAAAAGGATATATATTTGTTGAAAATGAAAAGAAAAACTCCAAAACTCACAAATCTTTCAATGTGTCACAACTCACGAGACTCACTACAAACATAAACTCCACCTAAACTTCATATATAAATACTCTACAATAAGTCACTTCTAAGACGTCCCAACTCACAAACACAACATTTTGCAATTTGCATTGACTAGTACCCGTCTCACAACCACCACTATGACCACGGGTATGGACAATCCCTACATTCTTCTGGTAACTATCCCGGGACAGGGCCACATCAATCCGGTCCTCCAATTTGCCAAGCGCCTTGTGGCAATGGGTGTCAAAGTTACCTTTGTCACCAGCCTCTCCGCCATCCGTCACATGAACAAAACCACCCCAACCCCACAAGGTTTAACACTCACCCCCTTCTCCGACGGCTATGAAAATGGCGTCAAAGTTGACGAACTCGAAAACTTCATGTCCTCACTCCGAATTCACAGTTGCCAAGCCATCGTGAATCTCATCAATGCGAGCGCAGACGAAGGCCACGTCTTCACACGTGTGGTTTACACCACAACTATCCCATGGATAGCAGAAGTGGCACATGACCTTCGCATTCCATCCACACTTCTTTGGATCCAACCAGCAACTATTATGGACATTTACTACTATTACTTCAATGGGTATGCTGATGTTATTAAAAAAAAATCGCTGTGACCCCTTTTGTCCCATTGAATTGCCAGGACTTCCAGTGCTCACTAGACATGACCTACCTTCTTTATTACTACCTAGTCCAACAGACTCCTACAGTTTTCTTCCAGTATTCAAAAAGCACATAGACATACTTGATGCCGGAACAACTCCACAAGTACTAGTAAATACATTCGACGAATTGGAATCCGATGCTCTATGAGCTATCAAGAAGCTCAACATGATTGCAATTGGGCCACTAATCCCATCAGCTTTTTTGGATGGAAAAGATCCATCTGATACCTCATTTGGGGGTGATATGTTTCAGAAGTCAATGGACTGTGTCAAATGGTTGAACTCGAAGCCAAAGTCCTCTGTTATTTATCTATCATTCGGAACTCTTACCGTGCCATCGAAGAAACAAATGGAAGAGATGGCACATGGGTTGTTGGATAGCCGAAGGCCGTTCTTGTGGGTGGTAAGAAAAACTGATCAATTTGGTAAGAATATAGAAAACGAAGTTATTTGCATGGAGGAGTTGGAAAAGCAAGGGATGATAGTCCCATGGTGTTCTCAAGTGGAGGTTCTGTCTCACCTATCATTGGGATGTTTTGTGATGCATTGCGGGTGGAATTCTACATTGGAGAGTGTAGTTTCTGGGGTTCCAATAGTGGCGCTTCTGCAGTGGACAGATCAGGGGACTAACGCAAAGCTCATGACAGATGTTTGGGAGACGGGGCTGAGGTTGACTGTGAATGAAGAAGGAATAGCTGAGAGGGAGGAGTTTAAGAGGTGCATAGAAATGGTAATGGGGGATGGAGAGAAAGGGAAAAAAATGAGAGGAAATGCCAAGAAATGGAAGGAATTGGCAAGGGAAGCAGTCAAGGAAGGTGGGTCATCGGATATGAATCTTAAAGCTTTTGTGAGTGAGATCGAAAATCAAAAGTTTGTTCAGTAGCATGAACTTTGTATTAAGTAATCCCATCAAATCTCTCTCATAAATAGCTTTCCCTTCATTTGAGAAACACCAAAAAACAACCTTTTGCATTAAGTAATCCCATCAAATCTCTCTCATTCACTATGGTGGATTGCCACATTCTCCTTTTAACTTTTCCGGCGCAAGGCGCCATCAATCCGTCAATCCAATTAGCCAAGAACCTCATACGAATGGGTGTTAAGGTCACCATTATCACAACACTCTCTGCTCACAGTCGCATGACCAAATCCAACAGCACAATTCCAAAAGGTTTATCCATATCTGCCTTCTCCAATGGCTATGATGATGGGTTCAAAGAAGGGGACAACTACGAACACTTCATGTCCGAGCTCAGAATTCGCGGTTCCAGGGCCATAGCGGAACTCATCAAGGCCAGTGCAGAAGAAAGCTACCCAATAACTTATTTGGTCTACACTACGGCTCAACCATGGGTTGCTGAAGTTGCTCATGGCCATCATATCCCATCCGCAGTTCTATGGACTCAACCAGCTACAGTTTTTGATATCTTCCACTATTACTTCAATGGCTATGGTGACACCAATAGAAAAATTGTCAATGACCCTTCAAGCTCCATTCAGTTGCCGGGTTTGCCATTGCTCAATAGCCGTGACCTTCCCTCCATTCTAGTCCCTCCACACTCAGAAAAATACAGATGGGCATTCCTATCGATGAAAGAGCAGTTAGACCTGATTAGTACCGAAACCAACCCAAAAATACTGGTTAACACATTCGATGCAATAGAGCCGGAGGCCTTAAGAGCTATGAAAAAGCATAATTTGATCCCAATAGGACCATTAATAGCCCCTTCTGATGCTTCCTTTAATGGTGACCTCTTTAAAAAATCACATGGTTATGTTGAATGGTTAAATTCGAAGCCCATATCATCTGTTGTTTACGTATCATTTGGAAGCATAGCTGTGTTGTCGAAGCAACAAATGGAGGCGATTGCACGCGGATTGTTGGAAAGCCATAGGCCATTTATGTGGGTGATAAGAGCAAAAGTAAATGGTGAGAGAGAGGAAGATAAATTGAGTTGCTTAGAAGAATTGGGACAAGAAGGATTGATAGTGCCATGGTGTTCTCAAGTGGAGGTTCTATCACACCCGTCAGTGGGATGTTTTTTGACTCACTGTGGGTGGAATTCTTCGTTGGAGAGTTTGGTTTCCGGGGTTCCAGTGGTAGGGTTTCCTCAATTGCTAGATCAAATGACGAATGCAAAGCTTCTCCAAGATGTATGGAAGATGGGGTTGAGAGTTGTGGCAAATGAAGAAGGAATAGTGGACAATAAGGAGATTAGTAGGTGTATAGAAATGGTAATGGGAGGAGGAGAGAGGGAAAGAGAAATGAGAGGAAATGCGAAGAAATGGAAGGAATTGGCATGGGAAGCTATGAAGGATGGTGGATCATTGGATATGAATCTTAAGGCTTTTGTGGATGCACTTGGAGATGGTCATTAGTAGCTAGGACTGAACTTTATTCATGAATATGAAAATGGTGTATGTGAAAGAAATAATAATGATGCTGGTTGTAACTCAGTCTAGCATTTGGCATGTCAAATTAAGTTTAAGAAATAAAATTATTAGTTTATAATGAAAATATGACATCTTACCTACTTATCTTTGTGATACTCATTCTACTGACGAGCAATAGTCTTTAGACAACAAATTTGAAAGAAAGTGTTTGCAAGAGGGACCAAAACCTAGAATATACACTTTGTCAAAGAGCAAAAGTTACCGATGCAGAGCATGTTATTGCTCAATTACAAATGCAGTGTAAATCATATTAAAATTCATATTGTTATGACAAACGTAACGAACCCAAGTTGAATAAAAAATCACGACAAAAAAGTAAACACGCCACACAAAGAACACAAAGATTTATACGTGGTTCGGCAACAACCTACGTCCACGGTTGGGATCCGGCGAAAGTATTCACTATGTGTCAAATTGAAGATTACAAATTTTCAGCCTCTCAATCTGTTTCTGTACGAATTTTAGAGTCTCTCTCTTTCACCACTCCAAACCCTAAGTGCTCTTATATATCGGGCTACAAGATACTATTTAGGGTACACAACCCATGAGCAAAAAACGAGTCAAAAATTTATCAGCGGGTCGCAATGCGACCTGGCACCAAATTCGGGCCACAATTCATACATATCAATCTGTCATTTTATACATTAGCAACATCACTTTCTACTAATTGGTTAAAGTCTGGCAAAAGTCCTTTTCGTATAACCCAAAGACATTTATTTTACACATTTGTCTCCATGGGAATGTGAACCTTCACCATCCACCTTGAGAGGTAAAGGAGATACCACTAAAGCCGTATTAATTTTGTGTTTCTGTGAGACATATATATATATATACACACACATATGCATAAGAGTTATATGCTATGGTAAAGGTGCTCTCACGATGGTTATAGCCCATACACAAACCTGTTTCTGTGATTCATATATATAAGAGTGATGCTATAATGAAGGTGCTCTCACCATGAGTTTTCGCCCTTGTTCACATGTCCAACGGACGAGGGAGCGAGTTCACTTTGAGAGCGCCCTCTTGACATTTTCCGATATAAATAGATTATAGAGAGAAGGATTTCAACAAATTAAACTTTTCAAGTCCCGAAGGCGGGTTGGCCACTGAGAAAACATAAATAATAAAAATAAAAATAAAAAAAGAAATAAAACAAGACTATAAACCCTAAATTTTCTGCTACCTTCTGTATTTTCTCAGCAACCAAACAAACACGAGTGGGAAAAAATACATTAGCAATAAATCAATCAATGATCACCACATGAGACTATGATTTGCCTATTAAAAAAAAAATTATTAGAAAGAGAAATCTCGTTTGATTAGACACGAAGGGAAAAAAAAAAAAAAAAAAAAAGTTACTCACTTTGATGACATACTTGAGGTCACGTACTTGGAATTGAAGCTTGAAACTATTGTCCTTTTCGACCTCAAGCTCCTTTGGAACCATCATCTCGCCATACACATCTCCATAGCACTGTATCTCTTCTTCTGCGATTCAGATTTCAAATCCAAATTTTAAAACTCAATATACCAAATTTCAGATTTCATATCCAATTTCTAATACACGAGTGTATAGAAATGGTGATGGGAGGAGAAGAGAGGGAAAGATGAATGAGAGGAAATGCCAAGAATTGCAAATATTCTCATCCATTCGGAACAAAAGTATACTTGATAACCCATCTTTCAAATTTCATTGGAGGTGCAAAGACCTATCTCTCTCACATCTTATTTTTTCTGATGTACCTACTCATATTCTTTCATGCTAACCCCAACTCCATTCAATTTATCAAGCAAGCAGTTGATCTTTTTTGTTCCATCTCGGGAATGAGCATAAATCAAACTAAAAGTAACACTTTTTTGTCTGGTGTTAACCCTTCCCTTGAGGCCAATATCCTCTCTATTTTAGGATTTGAAAAGGGGTCTCTACCCATTAGGTATTTGGGAGTTCCCTTAATTTCAACTAGACTAAAATCTGATGATTGCAAGGTCCTGATTGAGAAGGTTGCAAGCAGAATAGGGAACTGTACTATCAGGTTTTTGTCTTTTGCAGGAAGATTACAACATATCAATTCAGTTCTATGCAGCATGCTGATGTTCTGGACATCTAAGTTCATTCTTCACATATGCACTCTCGAAGTACTTGGCAGCATTCTTAGGAAGTTCCTATGGAAAGGTCATAAACTCAATAAAGGTGGTGCAGTGGTAGCTTGGACCACTGTATGCACTACCAAATCAGCTGGTGGCCTAGATATTCCTCATATTCAATCTTTGAACAGAATTACAATGATGAAACAATTATGGCAGGTTCTATCCATAGGAAACGCATCATTATGGGCACAATGGGTTAGAGCTTACCTGATAAGAGATAGATGCATTTGGCTTCTGAAGATTCCACAACAATGCTCTTGGAATCCGCGAAATCTACTCCAACTCTGGCCTTCCATCAAACCCCTTGTCAAAGTAGAAATTGGGAATGGTCTAAACTCTAATTTCTGGTTTGACAACTGGTTCTCCATGGCCCCCTTGCACAGCTTATTCACAACAGAGCAAATTCAGAACTCTCCTTGTGATCTCAATACAAAAGTTAGTGACTTCATTAGTGGCACCTCATGGAACCCAAATGCTCAGTAGCCCAAATGCTCGACCAATGTTGGCTCTTGATAGGCATGACAAGATCAAATTGCTTCTTTCACCCACAGGCAACTTCTCCCTCTCTCGCACAACAAACTTCCTCTGCCCCTCCCCTACTCTTCCATGGACACACCTTACTTGGTTCACACCTTGTATACCCAACCATAATTTCACTTGTATACCCAACCATAATTTCATACTTTGGCTTACAATCCACCATTAGCTTCCAACCTATGACCGAAAACCATTCCCAACTTGTGTGCCCTCTGTGCTACCTTTTCTTTCAATGCCAATTCATCTCTCCCATCTGGAACTTTCTACAAGCACGTGTTGCGCATTCTACACACGTCCCTCCTTCCTCTTGCGGTGAATTTATAGGTTGGGTTTGTCAGCTATGGGAGGAGAAAGCAAACCCTAGAAATCTAGTAAACAAATTATGTCTTGCGGATACAATACTTGGATGGAGCGCAAGAGAAGATACTTCAGAGGTCTCTGCTCAATCGAACAATTGCTTCTGTTCGAGACAAATTGATGTGTTGCTCAGTAAAAGATTCTAGGGCTTTGAAAGATGCATTGTGGTTGAATGGGAGTTCCAGGTTCTTTCATCCGTCCACCGGTGGTTGCCACCTGATTCAATTCTCCGGGCACTCATCGGAACTGTAACGACTAGGTTGACTTGCCACAATTGATGGCTTGCGACTAGGTTGGTCTTTTGACTTGGGCTAAGCTTCGGCTTATGTAATGGGCTTTGGGTTGGCCCAATAATTTTGGTCGGTACATTTCTTTACTTTAATATATATACACTTAACTTTAAAAATAAAAAATAAAAAACCTACAATTAAGTATTTGAAAAAATAATAATGATTTGGATTAATAAAGTTATAGTTGGAATGTTGGATAACCAACTGACTTATGAGTTTTCCATGTTAGTTATAGTGTCAAAATGTTATATTTTAACGATTTTATTACAATGGTATATTTCATCTAAAATATTATTTAGAGTGTATTATTTTCTATATTTTAAGAAACGGCATTATTTAAGAAAAAAGTGACCTCTCAACAAATTTTGAGAGCTGTAGTATATGGCAATACTTTTGACAATTTCAAAATATGAGATGTTTTTTGAGAGTTCATTAGAGTGTATTATTTTCATCTACGTGCTATATTTTGACTTTGAAAGGTCCTTTGAGAGGGCATTGGAGATGCTCCGAGTATGAATTATTACTAATACTCTGGTGTCATTGCTAATCAAAATGGGGTTTGGAGTTAAATCTCTTTCTTAGACTCTACATGCTTCAAATCTGTTGGTTCAGATTCTGCTGTGTCATCATCATCATCTGATCAATTAACACTTATAAATTCAAATTGTAACAAAATTCTCAGCATGAATTTTGATCAGATGACGAGGTGGCAGAATTTAATCTTTAGAATTGAGGTATGGAGAGTTCAGGAGAGAGATTTATAAAAATATGGATCATGTTGATTGATTCATTTTATTTATTTATTTGAATTTACTTTTCTTTGTGGATGGCATTTTGTAACTCAGTTCGGCATTTGGCATGTCAAATCAAGTATTAGCCAAAAAAAAAAAAACTTTTATAATGAAAATATGACATATTTCCTTCTTTTCTTTTCTTTTTTTTTGTTTCCAGTATTAGCAGCAGTAAAGTTTATTTATTTATTTATTATGTTTAATATTACATATTCAACTAACACGCATTTGTATGTAAACGAGCAATAATCACACACTTCTCTTAATTTCTTATAATTTGTCATATTATCATGTTTGTTTCATATCGATGTCATGTTTCGTAATAGCCCGGGACGACAATTTGCGCAAAGGATTGTTAATCATTGAAAGATATCTTAAAAAAACTTATTTTGTTAATGATATATACTTGCTTCAAATAATGAGTAATGACAAATTTCTCATCGTCATAGGAAATTTCAGTGTAAAAATTGTCCAAACACGTTGCTATATTTTTGTCTACAAAAACCTAGTGAGTGATTTATAGTAAACTTTATGATATAACCCACTGTATGTTTTTGACTTGGGATAAAAAAAAAATAAATAAATAAAAAATAAATAAGTAAAATAAAATGTTTACAAAGAGGGTATCGTAATAAGCAAGGGAAAACTTTTAAGTGATTCATACAGTACAAACTGTTATAAATATAGAAGAAATATAAAACACAAGAAAGATGTGTATATGCAATACAATTATAGAGAAATAATTCTCTTATATTTAAGTTCTATTCACAAACCACGCCTCCATGTCCAATACATTGCACCCATACACACATACACACACATACATACAGATACATACAAATTTTTCATCAGCACTCCACTCTTAGTTTTTTTCTCATTTCCTATTCACAAACCACGCCTACTCGTCCACAATTTCACCCCACCAATAATCCTGACAATAGCATGTGGACCCCACCACACATGCCTTATTTTTATTATTATTATTATTTTTTTTTGGGTAATGGACATACACTTCGTAAAAAAAACCCAAAAGTTCCTGATTCAGAGCATGATATTGACTCAATTACAAACCCAGTGTAAATCATATTGAAACCACCATCATCATTAGTTTTATTATTATTATTTTTTATATATATAAAAGAGAAAGTACTACAAGCGAAGCAGCCAACTTGATCCTCCCCAAACACGTCATGAAGGTCTAGCTCCAACCTTAAACATAAATAAACCCCCAATTCCCACCCCATTTCCATGCACAGCTAGCTTTCTCTTCACTTGTCTCACACACACACACACACACTCAATTTTTAGTTTTGTATTATCCTTCCAATTTTCATACATAACTTTTGCTTCATTTGGGAAACACAAAAACCACCTTTTGCATTCAGTAATCCCATCAAATCTCTCTCATTCACTATGGTGGATTGCCACATTCTCCTTCTAACTTCTCCGGCACAAGGCGCCATCAACCCGTCAATCCAATTTGCCAAGAAACTCATCCAAATGGGTGTTAAGGTCACCATTATCACAACACTCTCTGCTCCCCGTCGCATGACCAAATCCAACAGCACAATCCCAAAAGGATTATCCTTATCTGCCTTCTCCGATGGCTATGATAACGGGTTCAAAGAAGGGGACAACCACGAACACTTCCTTTCCGAGCTCAGAATTCGCGGTTCCAAGGCCATTGCAGAACTCATCAAGGCCAGTGACGAAGAAAGCTACCCAATAACTTGTTTGGTCTACACTATGTCTCAACCATGGGTTGTTGACGTTGCTCGTGCCCATCACATCGCATTCGCAATTCTATGGACTCAACCAGATACAGTTTTTGATATCTTCCACTATTACTTCAATGGTTATGGTGATGCCATTCAAAAAATTGTCCGTGACCCTTCAAGCTTCATTCAGTTGCCAGGTTTGCCATTGCTCACTAGCCGTGATCTTCCCTCCTTTCTAGTCTACATATGGGCATTCCTAAAGATGAAAGCACAGTCAGACGTGATTAGTACTGAAACCAACCCAAAAAATACTCGTGAACACATTCGATGCAATAAAGCCGGAGGCCTCAAGAGCTATGGAAAAGTACATTTTGATCCCAATAGGACCATTAATAACCCCTTATGATGCGTCCTTTAGAGGTGACCTCTTTCAAAAATCACATGGTTATGTTGAATGGTTAAATTCAAAGCCCGAATCATCTGTTGTTTACGCATCATTTGGAAGCATAGCTGTGTTGTCGAAGCAACAAATGGAGGAGATTTGCACACGGATTGTTAGAAAGACATAGGCCATTTATGTGGGTGATAAGAGCAAAAGAAAATGGTGAGAGAGAGGAAGATAAATTGAGTTGCTTAGAAGAATTGGGACAATAAGGATTGATAGTGCCATGGTGTTCTCAAGTGGAGGTTCTATCACACCCGTCAGTGGGATGTTTTTTGAGTCATTGTGGGTGGAATTCTTCGTTGGAGTGTTTGGTTTCTGGGGTTCCGGTGGTGGGGTTTCCACAGTGTGCTGATCAAATGACAAATGCAAAGCTTATCGAAGATGTTTGGAAGATGGGGGTGAGAGTAGTGGCAAATGAAGAAGGAATAGTGGACAGGGAGGAGATTGCGAGGTGACTAGAAATGGTGATGGGAGGAGAGAGGGAAAGAGAAATGAGAGGAAGTGCGAAGAAATGGAAGGAAATGGCATGGGAAGCTATGAAGGATGCTGGATCATTGGATAGGAATCTTAAGGCTTTTGTGGATGGACTTGGAGATGGTCATTAGTACTAGGACTGAACTTTATTCATGAAAATAAAAATGGTGTATTTGAAAGAAATGATAATGATTCTGGTTGTAACTCTGTCAAATTAAGTATTAGCAATAATATTATGAGTTTATAATGGAAATATGTCACCTTTCCTATATTGGAAAGTCACACTGGCTCATGAGTGTAGATGTTTACTCTGTAGCTGGATGTTTACTCTTTATCTGGTTGCCAATCTTATAATATCAGAGTTTTCATCGGCTCTCTGCTTTAAGCCCCTGCAATGCAGTCCTGCAAAATAATTACTTCATGACGTTAGTAAATTACTGAAATCCTATAATCAACACATTACAATTTTGTTAGCTATATATCTGTAACTATAAAAACAATTATTTCATGGTATTAGTAATATGGACATTCGTGATTAGATATCTAGTTGTTTCTGTCTATGCCAATCTTATAATATCAGAGTTTTCCTCGGCTTGCGACAGAGAGATGTGTTCTTCTTGAAGCCCCTGCAATGCAGGCAGTCTTGCAAAATAATTAATTCATGGTATTAGCAAAATTACTGAAAGACAAATAGATTCCATATCCCACGACAGAAGAGACAAAAGAAGAATGATTTTTGATCGAACCAGTTAACAAGCAGGAATAAGCATCAAATCCAGCTTCTCACCCCTTTTTTCTCCCACTATCGGGTAATAAGAAGGGCAGGGTGTTGTGGCTGGTGAGGGATATGGCCGAACACGTGTCCAACACTGTTCCAAAGTATCCTACCTTGGTACTTTTTCCTTTTTTAATTGGACACGACATGAACACTTTCAGAGGCATTTTCGTAATTTCTTTCAAACAAGGTTCCGGTTGGGAATTGTTGTCTAAATTCATAGTCTAATTAGATCTGTGTTTCAGAGTTGTATTTTGTTAGGAATTTCTTGTCAGAGAAGTTGGACTCCAATAAATTGTAATTCTTGTCTAAGGAGTTGGGTTTCGGACATGTACATGGTGTAAATGTATGTACATGGTGTAAATGCATGTACATACTGTATACTAGATCTCCATGTTCGTACGCTTCCACTGTCCCAACAGTTCCAATGCAATTCTAAAGCAAATAATGGGTTAATAGAAAAATAATATAGAGTTAAAAAACAAAAAACAAATGCCTAGAATGAGTAAAAAATCCATCTTTTATATAATAATATGGTTATTTTTCACAAAGAGCACTGGTAATGAAGAGTAAGATGGTTTACATAATCACGTTGAGTGCAACGCTAGAGAGAGAAAGAGATTTAAGTTAATGTGGTTAGTGTTAGTAAGAAATGATTCAATAACATTATACAGTAAGAGAAAAATACTTTGTTGAGTTGACTAAAATATGAGAATTTTATTATTCGTATTTTACTTTTTTTAAGATTTGTCGTATCTATTATGTATTGTACTAATGTCCATATGCAAAATTCATAGCGGGATACGAAGTCGATGGTGGTCAAGGTTCTCGTAACAAAGCAGTATGACTCGCATATATGAGTATTTTATTATCGTGCTCATATCTTACTTTTTTAAATAGTCATATCGTTGTGTCTATATATATATATATATTTAAAAGTATTATCAAATCTATATTTGCATCATACTCATGTTCATATTCGTGCTTTGTAACCTATTGCAGCAAAACGCCTTATGTCTCGCATCAGCGAAGACAAAACTCCAAAACCCAAGCCGGCCAACATTGAAAATTTGTTGATTTAGCATGTGCATGACTGGTAGACAAGACTTAGCAATATGTCCATTCACTTAAAAATGCAAAGACAACCTACAGACTCTAGACCCCAAACGTCAGACTACACCTCAAATCCTTATATAAAGCCCCTATCCCAACAGAATTCAAGCCATGCACATCTAGGTCACTTCTAAGAGGTCCCAACTCACAAACACAACATTTTGCAATTTGCATTGACTAGTACCCACCGGTATGAACAATCGCCACATTCTTCTGGTAACTGTCCCAGGACAAGGCCACATCAATCCGTCCCTCCAATTTGCCAAGCGCCTCGTGGCAATGGGCGTCAAAGTTACCTTTGCCACTAGCCTCTTCGCCATCCAGCGAATGAACAAAACCGCCCCAATCCCGGAAGGCTTAACCCTCGCCCCCTTCTCCGATGGCTATGACAATGGCGGGCAATTTGAAAACATCGAAAACTACATATCCTCGCTCCGAATTCACAGTTCCCAAGCTGTTGCAAATCTCATCAATGCCAGCAAAGACAAAGACCACGTCTTCGCACGTGTGGTCTACACCACAAATATCCCGTGGGTAGCAGAAGTGGCACATGATCTTCACATTCCTTCCACACTTCTTTGGGTCCAACCAGCAACTATTATGGACATTTACTACTATTACTTCAATGGGTATGCCGATGTTATTACAAAAAATAGCTGTGACCCCGTTTGTCCAATTGAATTGCCAGGACTTCCATTGCTCACTAGTCGTGATCTTCCTTCCTTCTTACTTCCTAATCTTACAGACTCCTACAATTTTCTTCCAGTATTCAAAAAGCACTTAGACATACTTGATGCCGAAACAAATCCACAAGTACTAATTAATACCTTCGACACATTGGAATCTGATGCTCTACGAGCTATCCAGAAGCTCAACATGATTGCAATTGGGCCGTTAATCCCATCAGCCTTTTTGTATGGAAAAGATCCATCTGATATTTCATTTGGAGGTGATATGTTTCAGAAGTCGACGGGCTATATAGAATGGTTGAACTCGAAGCCAGAGTCCTCTGTTGTTTATCTGTCATTTGGAAGCCTTTCCGTGTTATCAAAGAAACAAATGGAAGAGATGGCACATGGATTGTTGGAAAGCCAAAGGCCATTCTTGTGGGTGGTAAGAAATACTGATCAAAATGGAAAGAACATAGAAAACAAAGTAAGTTGCATGGAGGAATTGGAAAAGCAAGGGATGATTGTGTCTTGGTGTTCTCAAGTGGAGGTTCTGTCACACCCATCATTGGGATGTTTTGTGACACATTGCGGGTGGAATTCTACATTGGAGAGTTTGGTTTCTGGGATTCCAATGGTGGCACTTCCACAGTGGACAGATCAGGGAACTAACGCAAAGCTCATAACAGATGTTTGGGATACGGGGCTGAGAGTGACGGTAAACGAAGAAGGAATAGCTGAGAGGGAGGAGTTTAAGAGGTGCATAGAAATGGTGATGGGGGATGGAAAGAAAGGGAAAGAAATGAAAGGAAATGCCAAGAAATGGAAGGAATTGGCAAGGGAAGCAGTCGAGGAAGGTGGGTCATCGGACATGAATATTAAAGCTTTTGTGAGTGAGATCGAAAATCAAAAGTTTGTTCAGTAGTATGAACTTTGTTCTTGATTGAATCTTCACTTCTTTTTCCTGTAAATTGATTGGATCTTCATTTTTGTTCACTTTTGATTTACTTTTTGCTTTGTTTTCACATTTGTAACTCAATTGATATGTGCCTAAAAGGTCATGCATTTGCTATTCCATTTTATAATAAATTAAAATATCAGGGCTTTCTTGTAATATGAATTGGCTTCATTTTCTTTTCTCCTGGGTAATTGGCTTCATTTTTTATAATATATATTTGTATAAATATAAGAATATTTCAAATTAATGTGGAAGTAAAGACAACATTATTGCGTAGACAATATAATGATGTGCACAAAGATTTCAAATGGGGAGATGAAGACAACATTGTTGTGTAGACAATATAATGACGTGCCCAAATTTTCTATTAGAAAGCTATAAAGCGCAAGTTCACTCCTTGAACAGTGATGTTTTCATCACGTTCGAGAGTGAAAGATGGATTTTAAATTTGATTTTGAATCAATCTCATTTTTATTTTTGTAAAACAAAGAAAAGTTGGTATGAGATACTTGATGAGGATTAAGGGTCCCATGTTTGATCATTCTTTTACAATTTCTGGTGACTTCTTAACACCACAAATTTATTTATGGTATACAAATTTAGACTTCTATACTTGAGTCCAAGACAACAAGCTCTCATACTACAGTCATCCTAGAGAACACAAAGTGCAGGAATTCTGACATTTTATAGGTTCCAGACTTTTCTTGAAATTCTCTCTTTTTAATATTAGTAAACATTGTTCTGTAGATTTTCAAAATTAATTTCCACAAACACCTGATGAGTGATATATAGTAAAATTTATGATATAACTTGTTGTATGGTTCTTTGAGGGCTTCCTCTCTTTTATGCTTTCTTTGCTTTGTGGTTTTAATAATATTTGACACGAAAAAAAAAAAAAAAAAAAAACATGAACGATGGCATCTTAATAAGCAAGGAAAATTTTTAAGTGATTTATAGTACATGCACTTTTTTTTTTTTTTGCTAATTAGTACATACATTTCGTCACAGAGCAAAAGTTCCAGATTCAGATCATGATATTGACTCAATTACAAATCCAGTGTAAATCATATTAAAATTAATAAAAATCTGTCTCTCCCATCTACCATTCTTCTAATGCTTTTGCTATATGAAGAGACAAAGTACTACAAGCCAAGTAGCCAACTTGATTCTCCTCCACTAATATCATGAAGGTCTAGCTCCAATCCTTAAATATATATATATATATAAACCCCCACATCCCACCCCACATCCATACTCAGCTAGCTTTCTCTTCACTTGTCACACAAACTTAATTTTTAGTTTTGCATTGCCCATCCCATTTTCATACATATATAGCTTTCCTTTCATTTGTGAAACACAAACACAACCTTTTGCATTCAGTAATCCCATCAAATCTCTCTCTCATTCACTATGGAGGTTTGCCACATTCTCCTTCTAACTTTTCCAACGCAAGGCGTCATCAATCCATCAATCCAATTAGCCAAGAACCTCATACGAATGGGTGTTAAGGTTACCATCCTCACAAGTCTCTCCGCTATCCATCGCATGACCAAACCCAACAGCACAATCCCAAAAGGCTTCACCTTGTCTGCCTTCTCTGATGGCTATGATGACGGGTTCAAAGAAGGGCAAAACCGCGAACACTTCCTGTGTGAGTTTAAAAAACGAGGTTCGAAGGCCATAGCGGAACTCATCAAGGCCAGTGATGAAGAAGGCTATCCAGTAAATTGTTTGGTCTACACTATGAATCAACCATGGGTTGTTGAAGTTGCTCATGGTTATCGCATCCCATCTGCAGTTCTATGGACACAACCAGCCACAATTTTTGATATCTTCCACTATTACTTCAATGACTATAGTGACGCCATTAGAAAAATTGTCAATGACCCTTCAAGCTCCATTCAGTTGCCTGGTTTGCCATTGCTCACTAGCCATGACCTTCCCTCCTTTCTAGTCCCTCCACACTCAGACAAGTACAGCTGGGGACTTCTATCATTTAAAGAGCAGCAAGATGTGCTTAGTGCCGAAGCCAACCCAATAATACTTGTTAACACATTCGATGCAATAGAACCAGAAGCCTTAAGAGCGATTGAGAAGTTCAATTTGATCGCAATAGGACCACTAATAGTCTCTTCTGATGCTTCCTTTAGAGGAGACCTCTTTCAAAGATCACTTGGTTATGTTGAGTGGTTAAATTCGAAGGCCGAATCATCTGTTGTTTACGTATCATTTGGAAGCATAGCTGTGTTGTCGAAGCAACAAATGGAGGAGGTTGCACATGGGTTGTTGGAAAGCCATAGGCCATTTATGTGGGTGATGAGAGCAAAAGAAAATGGTGAGAGAGAGGAAGATAAATTGAGCTGCTTAGAAGAATTGGGACAAGAAGGATTGATAGTGCCATGGTGTTCTCAAGTGGAGGTTCTATCACACCCATCAGTGGGATGTTTTTTAAGTCATTGTGGGTGGAATTCTTCGCTGGAGAGTTTGGTTTCTGGGGTTCCAGTGGTGGGGTTTCCACAGTTGATAGATCAAATGACGAATGCAAAGCTTATCCAAGATGTTTGGAAGATGGGGGTGAGAGTGCTGGCAAATGAAGAAGAGATGGTGGACAGGGAGGAGATCAGGAGGGGCATAGAGATGGTGATGGGAGGAGGAGAGAGGGAGAGAGAAATGAGGGGAAACGCGAAGAAATGGAAGGAATTGGCATGGGAAGCTATGAAGGATGGTGGATCATTAGATATGAATCTTAAGGCTTTTGTGGATGGACTTGGACATGGTCATTAGTACCTAGGATTAAACTTTATTCATGAAAATGAAAATGGTGCATTTGAAAGAAATTATAATGATTTTGGTTGTAACTATGTCAAATTAAGTATAAGAAATAATATATTAGTTTATAATGGAAATATGTCATCTTTCTACTTTTCTTGTTCCAAATATTCCTTTCTTTCCTGATCTATTGGTGTCTACTTGTTTTTTATTTTTTTTAAAAAAAAAAAGAAAAAATAAAACTTTCTAGAAACTAAATAGCAACTTGTCTCGTCTTTGTGATATTTTATTCTACTGACCAGCAATAATCTCTAGCCACCACCTTTGAAAGAAAGTGTTTTCGGGAGGGACCAAAACCTATTGCCTTCCCACGTTTTTAATCTCTAGCCTGCACCTTTAATGAGCAATAATTGTGTCCCTATCTTACTGTTTTATGATTAGCCATATTATCATGTCTATATCATATCGATGTTAACATCCATGTTTTGTAGCAGCATACGAAGCTGAGAAAGGGTCCACAGGGGCCAAGACTGTTATAACAGACTAGTTCATGTCTCTCATCAGCAGCATCCGTATAATAATATTACACTAGAATTTTTTGATTGAGCATGATTAGCCATAAACAGAAAACTAAAATTAAAGATAGAAAGTTTACAAAGAGGCCATCCTAACAATTAAGCAAGGAAAATTTTCAGTGATTTATATGGTAAAACACTCCCTATTCAACGTATATTACTCAACCACAAGTCTTTCTGAATCATTTTAAAATTCATACCAAACTATCTCCATCTACCATTCTTCTCATCTCTTTGATGTATGAAGACAACTTATTTTATAAATTACCAACATCACTTTTTGTTGTTTTGCTAATGTTTTGCCTTTTCGTATGACCTAAAGCCGTTTCTTTGTTATATATATCCAACTGATGAGAAGTGACCAAATAGAAAGTAACTGCTTCTCACATATGGATGAGCTCATATGTGAGGCCGTTCTCTCTTATTCACTGGATCCAATGGATGAGGAGGTGAGTTCACCTTGAGCGCGTCCTCCAAACATTTTCCTATACATATATAGATATTTATTTATTTATTTATTTATATAATAATAATTTCCACAAATTAAACCTTTGAAGTCCCTAAGACATGCTAGCCACTGAGAAAACATAAGGAAAAAAAAGAACAAGAAGAAGACTATAAACCCAATTTTCCGCTGCGTTCTATATTTTCTCAGCAACCAAACAAATACAGGTGGGCAAAATTGTAAGCATGGGCAACATTAACAATTAAACAGTTGAGTATCATCAAATTAGACTATGATTTGCCTGTAAAAAAATGAAAGAAAAAGAGATATTTTGTTTGATTAGAAATGAAGGGAAAAAAAGTTACTCACTTTTATGGCCTATTCGAGGACAGGCTTGGAATCGAAACTCGAAACTATTGACCTTTTCGATCTCAAGCTCCTTTGGAATTTGGAACCATCAGCGCTCCATACACATCTCCATAACACAATATCTCTTCTTCTGCGATTCAGATTTCATATCCAATTTAATGAGAGAAAATGCCAAGAAATGTAAGGAATTGGCATGGGAAACTATGAAGGATATGAATCTGTGGAGAGACTTGGAGATGGTCATTATTAGTAGCTAGGAGTGAACTTTATTCATGAAAATAAAACAGGTTTATTTGAATGAAATGATCATGCTTTTAACTGTTTCATTCTTTAAATTTATTATTTATTTGGATTTACCTTTACTTTGTTGGTGACATTTGTAAGTTTGTAACTCAGTCTTGCATTTGGCATGTCAAATAAAGTATATGAATTAAAAATTAAAAATTGTTAATTGAAAAATGACATCTATTTCAATAATTGTTGGAGTTGTCAGGCTACATATAATTGAGTGGGGAATTATGTCATCCTTCATTCACATAAAAGTCAGATGTGTCAGACTCTTCGATTACTTATTATTTTCCTTTTCTTAATAGACATGTGACATCCTTTCTAATTTTTTTGTTCTCAATATTTCTTTCTTTCTTGGACTGTTAGTCTATTAGGGTGTGTTTAGTTAGATAGAAGTTGCAGGAAAGGAAAAGAAAGGGAAAATTAGAAAAATTAGAAAAGATGTGAAAATAGCACAAAAGAGTAGGTGCTTTGTAAATAAAGTAATTTTGTTACTATGATTTTGTTAACTTCATTGGACATATCTAACTAAATTTATGTGAGTAGAAGATGACATCACCATATTTAATGACGTTAGCTACAACTCACATAAAGCAGTTGGAATAGAATACATGGGATGCTTCAAATTCAGTTTTGTGTTACCTTTTAGCATGAATGGTCGAACTTTGTCACAGTGGGATGTTTTGCACAGAAAATTCATACAACGAGGCAGATACTTCTATTTACACATGTGGGACATAAAATATTAACACTCTATTTTAAAAAGTTAAAAATAGTAGGTGAATTAACATATAATAGAAAAGCTTGAAGTTTTTGAAGTTAATATTTTAGTTATAAAAATATAATAATAGAAAAGTTTGAAGAGAGAAATTATGAAGTAGATTCCATTCGTATGGAATTAAGGCAAAAATGATAACTATTTGTGCAAAGGGTTTTTCATCGCAGAAAGAGATGCTAAAAAAATGAATTTTGTTAATGAGACATATTTGCTTCAAATAATGAGTACAAATTTCTTTTAGTTGCATAAAGTTTCAATGTAAAATAGTACTTCAATGGAACTAAAACATCCCAAGAGTAGGTGAATTATGTATCAAATTTCTATTTTAATTAGATTTTTGTTATAGAGTTATATTTCGCTTTAAAAGATCCTATATTTTTTATTGTCTAACAAGTACTTGGTGTAGAAATTCAATAAATTTACATTGGAAAGTCATATTGGCTCAAGAGAGTAGATATCTAGTTGTTTCTGTCTATGCCAATCTTATAATATCAGAGTTTTCACCGGCTCACAACAAAGAGATGTGTTATTCTGCTTTAAGCCCCTTTGCAATGCAGTCTTGTAAAATAAATAATTCATGGCATTAGCAAAATTACTGAAAGACAAAAAACTAAGTCTAAATGGTGTTGTGGCTGCCCCAGGATATGGCCAGACTAGTGTCACACACTGTTCCAAAGTATTCTGAAGTTCATACCTTTTTTTTTTTAGTTGGACACGACTAGAACACTTTCGGGAACACAATGAGCCCGTTTTGTAATTTTTTTTAAACAAGGTTCTTGTTGAGAATTATGTCTAAAATTTCCAGTTTGATTGGATTTCTAATTTAGAGTTGTATCTTGTAAAGAATTTCTTGTTAAACAAGTTAGACTATAAGGAATTGAGTTTCAGACTATATATATACAGTTAAGACTTAAATTGAGAGATGTAGTCTCATGTGATAGTTGATGGTTTGGTAGAGTAGAAAAAATACCGGTTACATGTATGCGATTGTGCCTACAATGAGTAAAAAACTTTTATATAATAATATGGGTATTTTTCACAAAGAGCACTAGTAATGAAGAGTAAGATGGTTCATATTGAGTGAAATATTAAAGGAAGTCAAGGATCGAAGCTAATGTGGTTAGAGTTTTTTTCGGTGGGTTTAATATGGTTAGAGTTTGTAATAAAAGATTCAATAATATTTTTATCTCAAGAGAAAAAGAATTTAATGAGTTAGAGCAAAATATATGAGTATTTTATTATTCGTATTTTGGGATTTTTTTTTTTTTTAATATTTGTCATATCTATTTTGTATCGTACTAATATCCATATTTATGCTTCATAGCTGGATACGAAATTCATGGCGGTCAAGGTGGTTATAACAAAACAACATGTCTCACATATATGAGTATTTTATTATGGCGCTCATATCTTACTTTTTTATATAGTCATATCATTGTGTCTATATATATATATATATTTAAAGTATCATCTTATCTGTATTTGGAAAACTCCAAAACCTAAGCCGGCCAATATTAAATTTTTTGTTGTTTTAACATGTGCATCACTTGTAGACAAACCTTAACGAGTTTATGTCCGTTCACTTGAAAATGCAAAGACAAACTCCAGATTCCAAACTTCAAACGTCAGACTACACCTCAAATCCTTGTATAAAACCTCTATTCCCATGGCATTCAATACATGCAAATCAAGTAACCTCTAAGACGTCCCAACTCACAAACACGACATTTTGCAATTTGCATTGACTAATACCCCTTCATCACCACCACTACAGGTATGGACAATTGCCGCATTCTTCTGGTAACTGTCCCAGGACAAGGAAGCATTAATCCGTCCCTCCAATTTGCCAAGCATCTCGTGGCAATGGGTGTCAAAGTTACCTTTGCCACTAGCCTCTCCGCCATCCAGAGAATGAACAAAAATGCCCCAATCCTACAAGCCTTAACCCTCGCCCCCTTCTCTGATGGCTATGACAATGGCAAAGAAGTTGTCAAAATCGAAAACTATCTATCCTCGCTTCGAATTCACAGTTCCCAAGCTGTTGCAAATCTCATCAGTGCCAGCGCAGACGAAGGCTGCGCCTTCACACATGTGGTCTACACCACAACTATGCCATGGGTAGCAGAAGTGGCACATGAACTTCACATTCCATCCACACTTCTTTGGGTCCAACCAGCAACTATTGTGGACATTTACTACTATTACTTCAATGGGTATGGTGATGTTATTACAAAAAATAGCTATGACCCCTTTTGTCCAATTGAATTGCCAGGACTTCCATTGCTCACTAGTCGTGATCTTCCTTCCATCTTACAACCTAACCCTACAGACTCCTCCAGTTTTCTTTCAGTAATCAAGAAGCACTTAGACATACTTGATGCCGAAATAAATCCACAAGTACTAGTAAATACATTCGACACATTGGAATCTGATGCTCTACGAGCTATCAAGAAGCTCAACATGATAGCAATTGGGCCGTTAATCCCATCAGCATTTTTGGATGGAAAAGATACATCTGATACTTCATTTGGAGGTGATATGTTTCAGAAGTCGACGGGCTATATAGAATGGTTGAATTCGAAGCCAGAGTCCTCTGTTGTTTATGCATCATTCGGAAGCCTTTCAGTGCTCTCGAAGAAACAAATGGAAGAGATGGCACATGGGTTGTTAGAAAGCCGAAGGCCATTCTTGTGGGTGGTAAGAAAAACTGATCAAACTGGTAGGAATATGGAAAACGAGGTAAGTTGCATTGAGGAATTGGAAAAGCAAGGGATGATGGTGACATGGTGTTCCCAAGTGGAGGTTCTGTCACACCCATCATTGGGATGTTTTGTGACGCATTGTGGGTGGAATTCTACATTGGAGAGTTTGGTTTCTGGGGTTCCAATGGTGGTATTTCCGCAAAGGGCGGATCAGGGGACTAATGCAAAGCTGATCACAGATGTTTGGGATACGGGAGTGGGGGTGACAGTAAATGAGGAAGGAATAGTAGAGAGGGAGGAGTTTAAGAGGTGCATAGAAATGGTAATGGGGGATGGAGATACAGGGAAAGAAATGAGGAGAAATGCCAAAAAATGGAAGGAACTAGCAAGGGAAGCTGTGAAGGAAGGTGGGTCCTCGGACATGAATATTAAGGCTTTTGTGGGTGAGGTTGGAAATAAACAGACTGTTTAATTAGTAGGATGAACTTTGTTCTTGATTGAATCTTTCTTTTCCTTGTATTTTTCACTTTTGATTTTCCTTTTGCTCTGTTGTCACAATTGCAATTCAAAGTGACACGTGCCTAAAAGGTCATGTATTTGGTATTCCAATTTACAATGAATTATAACATCAGGGAGTGTTTGTCATATGAATTGGTTTCATTTTTCATATTATATATAGTTTGGAGAGATTTAAAAAGTGGAGGTAAAGAGAACATTGTGTGTAAAGAACATGATGATGTGTTGTTGTGGGACAAATTGTCAGACTCTTTTTTAGCATACCCATTCTCGGTTGGAAACAATCTAATAATCAAAACCTACTAGCTTAAGCTAGTGGTCCATGTTTTTTTTCAGTCAAATTTCATTGTTTAGAGCCTCGAGCCCCAAAATCGCATTTTCGGTTGAATAGGATTACTGTATTTCGGGATATTTATTGAAGGTCTAAACAAACTCGGATTATTATTCTATCTTTTCATAATTTTTAGAGATGGTTGAATTTTGAACTTATTTTATCTTTCCTTATATTATTAGTTATATGTTTCTTATGTTGTTAGTTTTCTTACACGTATAGATTTTGAACTTATTTTATCTTTCCTAATATATTATATATATTATGCATGTACTGCAAGAGTATTATGCATTGATTAATTATGCAAAAGAATTTAGACTATTGCACTTGAGTGCAAAAACAACAAGCTCTCATACTACAGTCATCCTAGAGAACACAAAGTGCAGGACTTTTCTTGAACTAGTGGCTATATTTTTGCGGGCAAACAGCTGATGGGTGGTATAGGTCAAGAGAACTAGATCAACAAAAACAGCAAAGTAAAATTAAATATAGATAGTTTACAAAATGGCATCCTATAGTAAGCAATAAAATTTTCAGTGATCTAAAGTACTACACTTTGAAAAGGAGAAAATTTTCCCTATTCAGAGCATGTTATCGACTCAACCACAAATCCATTGTAAATCATATTAAAATTCATATCAAACTGTCTTTCCCATCTACCATTCTTCTAATCTTTTTGCTAGAATACATTAGCAACATCACTTTCTGCTACTTTGCTAACGTTTAGCCAGAGTCCTTTTCGTATGACCTAAGCCACATATATTAAACCTTTGAGGTCCCGATTCTGAAGGCGGCCACTATATAAGAAAAAGAAATAAAACAAGACTATAAACTAAATTTTCTACTGTCTTCTATATTTTCTCAGCAATCAAATAAATACAGATGGCTACTGTCTTCTATATTTTCTCAGCAATCAAACAAATACAGATGGGAAAAGATTGTAAGCATTGGCAACATGAGACTATGATTTGCACGTAAAAACAAGCAATAAATAGATATATATTTTGCATTTTTACAAAGGCAAAATGAGAAGAAAAGGTTACTCACTTTGAATCGAAGCTCAAAACTGTTTTCCTTTTTGACTTTCGAGCCATCATCGCATCACTCAACACTTTACCATCAAATTACACATAATTGTGACCTAATCTCACCATGAGTATTATTACTAGGGATAAATCAAATCCAACCAAATTAGACCGGTAGTTTTGGTTTAATTTTTTTACAATTCGATTATGTTTAGGGTTCAAAAAATAATGATTCGGTTACAATTTGAAGTTTTACGTGATCAAACTGAATCTAACTGAATTACTTTACAATTTATAGGTAATATATATATTTATATATTTTGTAATATATATTTTTTGATAAGTTATATTTTGTATTATATAAATAATAAGATTAACTCTTTAACACACAATTATATATTATAATATATAATATAAATTATATTATAATAAAAACTATATTATATATAATATATATTTTTAATTATATATATATATTAGATTAAATTATAAAAAAATTTAAAATCGTAAAACAAAATCGAACCAAACCGTTTTCTCATGGTTTGGTTCGGTTCCATTCACTTCATGATTTGATTCAATTTCAATTTTTATAAAACCTTTAGAAATAATTTGGTTCCAAAATATTCTCAAACAGGTCAAATCCAAGCTTTATTGCTCACTATTAATTATAACATTATACAATGAATTTCTTTTTTCTATTTTAGAAAATTTATTAATTCTTTATAAACGTACAAAACTAGACTTGATAAAAATAAAAGAATTTGGCTACTTCTTCCGTGGACTACTCCGAGTGAATTATTTGCAAAAACTTGCCAAGTTCATGTCCAAAAATGCAGTGCATAGGATTACAAGCATTTTAATGGATAAAATGAATAATTTACACAATGATTTAATTTTATCTCTCTAGAAATTAGTACATAATTCTGGAATTATTGATATGTGATGATATATTATCATGGCACCTTCAAAGTGATAATATTGACATAATGCTGATAATATGTGGTCACATGATTGATCCAATACCATGTAATAGTTTCTTTTATCGTATGCTCTAAATTACTACTCTCTTAAAAATATCTGTGAAAAAAAAAAATTTATGATTACTCTCAGTTGATTTTATATATCTGTTATTTTGGAGGTTTCTTTCGACCACATATTTTTTCCAATTTCTTTTTCTATTTTAAAGAAAAAGTTCTTGAGATATTGAGAACGTGTAACATCCGAAAGCAAAAGTTAATTATATATTTTAGATATTGGATGAAGCCTGAATAATTAAAGTTAACTAAGAATCTGTACTCTGTGTGATTTTTGTTTCATATTAATTGAATATCTTGACATTACGTCAAAGATTTTTTACTTGGGCTGTCTTTGACATGGGCTAAGCCTAGGCTGGCCTTTTGTTCGAGCCTTGTGCTCTGTAAATCTTTTGGCCCAAATGGCTTTATAAATTCCCCTTTTTAATATACTAACACTTACATTTCAAAAAAAAAAAGTGGAATATGTATTGATTTTATTCTATTATTTTAAAATATTATGGGGTTTCAGCATAACAGAAAATAAATGGGTTTTTTTATTTTTATTTTTATTTTTATTTTAACTTTGGCTTGATAAAATAAAATGAGTCTTTTGAAAATATCATAAGAATTTAGTGAGGAAATTTACATAATTAATTCAAGTTCTATATGGACAATTGTCGCCAATAACCCGGATACCCTGATATCCGACCAATAAATATTAAAATAAAAATTACAATTAATCGCAGATTAAGATACTAGATTCTCAGTAATTTCGAAATACTAAATACTATTATTTAATATATATATATATAATCATCACAATTTTTGAACGGATATCAAGATGTGGTTCACGGCCGGACCCATATAAACATATTATATTTTCCATCCGGATATAAAGTGTGACAAAAACCCTCCTAATAAAATTTGAAGTGAAAAGCGACAAAATACATGCCAACTAACCCCACTGCTCCAAGTCCTCCTCACCCACTAAGGCAGAGAGACAAAGTAGAAACCAACAAACCCCACTGCTCCAACTCTTCACCCACAAAATCCCCAAAAAATTATATAATGGTGTTGATCAAGGGAAAATATATATATATATATATATATATATATATATATATATATATATAATTAATTAAATAAATTAAATGAATATACTGATTGATAATTGTGTTTGTACATGTATTCATGATTTTATTTTATTTTTTCTTTTCGAAAGGTGGTCAAGCTTCAATTCTTACACATATATATACCCTCACATCGCACCCCATTTTACATACACAGCTACCTTTCTCTTCACTTGTCTCTCTCACACACACACACAATTTTTACTTTTGCATTGTCAATCCCATTTTCATACATTGTTTTCCCTTCATTTGTCAAACACAACCATAACCTTTTGCATTCAGTAACGCATTCACTATGATGGATTGCCACATTCTCCTTCTAACTTTCCCGTCGCAAGGTGCCATCAATCCGTCAATCCAATTTGCCAAGAACCTCATACGAATGGGTGTTAAGGTCACCATTATCATAAGTCTCTCTGCCCACCGTCGTATGACCAAATGCAACAGCACAATCCCAAAAGGCTTATCCATATCTGCCTTCTCCGATGGCTATGATGACGGGTTCAAAGAAGGGGACAACCACGAACACTTCAAGTCTGAGTTCAAAATTCGCAGTTCCAAAGCCATGGCGGAACTCATCAAGTCCAGTGATGAAGAAGGCTACCCAGTAAATTGTTTGGTCCACACTATGGCTCAACCATGGGTTACTGAAGTTGTTCATGCCCATCACATCCCATCTACACTTCTATGGACTCAACCAGCCACAGTTTTCAATATCTTCCACTATTACTTCAATGGCTATTGTAACGACCCTAACTGATGTCAAGAATTTTTTTTTATTTAAAATTCGGCATAACCTCTCCTAAAAATGGACCTACCGCAACCTGTTTAATTGCATTTTTAACCTGTCATGGCTCAAATTCCGAATTCACGGCAATAATAGATTATAATACACAATCAAATGAGCTCGATAATACCTCAAACTAGTATTACTCTCCCCATGCAATAATAAGGTTTACATGTTATCAAATTCACATCCAAAGTATCATCAAATACCTTAATTACATTACATAACAAAGTTTTGCAAAATATACATATACACCTTCACACTTTTACTGCTTTGCAAAAATAATGGGAGATATACAAAAGACACAAAAGTGAGCTTCTAGTATCGCTCAAGCTTGAGGTGGGTTATCGTCCACCGGTTCTTTTCCAAGACCTGAAAAAAATGTATAAATAGCAGGGTGAGCTATATGCTCAGTAGGTGACACTTAAGACACAAATCTTGTGTCCTTGTGAATTCAAGCAAAGCATAGGCCAATGGGAGATAGGGATCATACAACGTAGGGGATCAAATACAACATACAATTCAATTCCAATTATAAACAATGCAATGCAATGCAATGAAATGCAATGCATGTCAATGACACTCCCCATTCTCATTCTCAAAATCATCACTTTCAAGCGTTAATACAGCCCGCTCTTTGGTAACCCCGCCGCGACACGAGAGGAGGATTGGCTAGTGTCCTTGACCCTTGGTAACCCCGCGGCGTCATTATGGGGCCCAGCTAGCTCAACCACACTAGGGCGACTCCCTAGTCCCCTCTAAGCTATATTAACCTCCGGCCCGTTGGTAACCCCGCAGCGACCGGGTTTCACATAAAACCATTTTATCAAAAACACTTCCCTGAAATTCCCCATATTTATTTCAAGAACAATTTCGCCCATTTCATGCAAACCCAATGGTATGTGCATGTATATATGTTCCATACATTCAATGTCATGGATTTTCCATCATAAAATTAAACATTCAACATGTTCAACATCTCTCAAGTAATTATTAACACATTAAGATACAACAAAATACATTTAAGCATGTGCATGTATATATATTTATGAGCTCAACATCATGAATTGGGAAATTTGGCGCAATTTAAATAAGCATACTCTCATACATCAATTTCAGCATGCTAGCACATAGTAAACATAGGAAATCAACAACTAAATATAATTTGCACATGAACCAACCATATTCAAGATCGTGAAAACCCTCTAGACATCATTAATACCATCATAGATATAATTAACTCTAAATTAAGCATATTTAATACAACATGGAGGTAAAATTCACAATAGAACAAGACTAGAGTGGATTAAGATGCCCCTACCTCAAAAATGAGCAAACCCTAGAAAATGGGTCCTAAATTTTGAAGTTCAAAGGGTGCACCAAATCTGGAATTGTTGGTATGTATGCGTAGAGCTCGACACAAGCTTCGTTTTGCCTCAAACGGCACCTCAATCCGACAAAAGGTGGAGGAGGAATCTAAGAATGAAGTTTGAGTTCAAAAAGAAAAAGAAAAAACAAGAAACAGAGACAGAAGGAAGGGCCAGCGGGAGAGAAGAAAAATGGAGACCAATTGTGGTCTCAAACCCTTTTTGGGTGTGGTGGTGGGTCCTACCAAAATTTTAATTTGCTTTCTCTTTTTTCTTTTACTCAATGTACATCACACACACAGACATATATATATATATATAAAGGCACAAACATTACACTCTCCCTAACTTTAAAAGATTTCGTCCCCGAAATCAAGACATACCTGAGGAAGAAAACAACTCTGGATACTTGGAGCGAACCTCCTGTTCAAGCTCCCAAGTAGCTTCCTCGACTCCGTGGTGTCTCCAAAGGACTTTCAGCATTGGTATCGTCTTGTTCCTCAACACCTTCTGTTGTGTGTCAAGAATCTGAACTGGTCCTTCCTCGTAGGAAACATCCTCATCAATGTCCACATCTACCCAACTCAAAATGTGAGATGGATCCGGTTCGTACTTCCGTAACATCGATACATGGAAAACATTGTGGACCCTATCCAACTGTGGTGGCAAAGCAAGCCTGTAGGCAACCTCTCCTACTCGGTCCAAAATCTCAAACAGTCCAATATATCGTGGCGACAACTTGCCACTTTTCCCAAATCTCATCAATCCCTTCCGTTGAGAAACCCGTAGAAAACGTGGTCTCTCACCTCAAAGGATAACGGTCGTCTCCGCTTATCCGCATAGCTCTTTAGTCGGTTCTGAGCTGTAAGTAACCACTGTCTTATCAACTTAATCTTCTCAGTAGTCTCGAGTACAATGTCGGGTCCTAAGGCGGCTGTCTCGCCTATCTCAGTCCAACAAACAGGAGACCTATAAGGTCTACCATACAACGCCTTAAATGGAGCCATCTGGATGCTCGCCTGATAACTGTTGTTGTAGGCAAACTCAATAAGTGGAAGGTGATCCTCCCAACTACCTCCCAAATCAAGTACACATGCCCGAAGCATATCCTCCAAAATCTGGATAGTACGCTCCGACTGACCGTCCGTCTGTGGATGGAATGCCGTACTAAGATGCAACGCTGAACCAAACGCTACTTGAAGTCCTTCCCAGAACTTCGAAGTGAACTTAGCATCCCTATCTGACACAATGGTTACAGGAACTCCATGCAACCTTACAATCTCCTTCACATAAAGAACACCAAGCTTCTCTGCATCATCTGTTGCCTTAATAGGCAAAAAGTGAGCCGTCTTGGTTAATCTGTCAATGATGACCCATACGGCCTCATTGCCCCTTCTTGACCTTAGAAAACCTATCACAAAATCCATAGCAATATGCTCCCATTTCCATTGCGCTACAGGTAATGGTTGCAACAAACCTGCTGTCCTCTGATGCTCGGCCTTCACCTGCTGACAAGTAAGGCATCTAGCCACAAATTGTGCAACATCTTTCTTCATCCCGTTCCACCAATACTGACGTCTTAAATTGTGATACATCTTGGTACCACCTGGATGAACTACAAAGCGGGAAGTGTGAAACTCCCGTAGAACATCCTCACGACAAACTGTGGGAACCACCAACAAACCCCTGAACCGTAGACCCCCATCTGCATGCAAGGCCCAATCTTTCACTGTCTCACCACTAGAGATCAAAGCGTGAATGGCATCTAAATTCGGGTCCTGTCTTTGTGACTCAATCACTCGTACAACAAGAGTAGGCTGAGCCATAAGACTAAATAAGAATGCCGACTCACTGCAACCATCATCATCAAAACACTGTAATCCCATCTCTGCCAGGTCTTCAAGCATCTTCCACTTCCGAATAGCTAAATTGGCCAAAGTTTCACGAGATTTCCGGCTTAAGGCATCCGCTACCACATTCGCCTTGCCCGGATGATACTGCAAGTCAAAATTGTAGTCCTCCAAGAATTCGACCCATCGCCTCTGTCTGTTGTTCAAGTCCTTTTGAGAGAAAAGGTACTTGAGACTTTTGTGATATGAAAATACCTCGAATCTCTCACCATATAAGTAATGTCTCCAACACTTTAAGGCAAATACAACTGCCGCTAACTCCAGGTCATGAGTAGGGTAGTTGTACTCGTGAGTCTTCAACTGTCGAGACCCATAAGCCACTACTTTACCATCCTGCATCAACACACATCCCAACCCGTCACGTGAAGCATCACAATAGATCACATAACCCAAGCCACGCTCAGGTATCACCAACACTGGAGCTATAGTCAATCTCGTCTTCAACTCCTGAAAAGATGAATCACAGGCCTTATTCCAGACAAACTTGACCCCTTTCAGGGTCAAACGGGTCATAGGAGCTGCCAAACGAGAGAAATCCTTCACAAATCTCCGATAGTAACCCGCTAAACCAAGGAAACTGCGGATCTCAAACACATTCTTGGGTCGCTCCCAAGTCAAAACTGCTTCAACCTTTGACGGATCAACTGATACTCCACCTTCTGAAACAACATGCCCCAAAAACTTCACCTCCTGTAGCCAAAACTCATATTTCTCGTATTTGGCATACAATCGGTGCTCCCGCAAAATCTGTAAAACGTCATCTTCCCGAGTCAGTGATCTTCCCGAGTCAGTGAGTACACAAGAATGTCATCCACGAAAACTACCACAAACTGGTCCAAGTAATCATGAAAGACGCGGTTCATCAAGTCCATGAATGCCGCTGGCGCATTAGTCATGCCAAAAGGCATAACAAGGAACTCATAGTGTCCATACCGTGTACGGAATGCTGTCTTCGGGATATCCTCATCCCTAACCCGCAATTGATAATAGCCAGACCTCAAGTCAATCTTCGAGAAACAACTGGCTCCCCTCAACTGATCAAATAAATCATCTATCCTTGGCAAAGGATACTTGTTCTTGATGGTGGCATGATTCAACTTCCGATAATCAATGCACAACCTCAACGAACCATCTTTCTTCTTAGCAAACAAGACCGGTGCGCCCCACGGTGACACACTCGGTCGGATGAAACCTTTCATACTCAAATCATCAAGCTGCCTCTTCAATTCTTCCAATTCAACTGGTGCCATACGATATGGTGCTATAGAAATCGGCGCAGTACCATGCATCAAATCAATAGTGAACTCCACTTCTCGGTGTGGAGGCAACTCTGTCAAATCCTCCGGAAACACATCCAGAAAATCACAAACAACCGCAAGATAATCCTCTTTCCCAACATCATCTTCTTCGGCTATAAGGCTAGCCAAGAAGTAATCACCATGACTTTGTCCACGAACTCCATAAAACGATGAAATGTGGGAATCACTCCGATCTCCCACGAAAAAGAAACAGTCTCCCTCAAGAGTGCAAACTGTAACCCCTCCTCTGTAACAGTCGATCGTGGCATGAAATGAAGCCAACCAATCCATCCCGAGAATGACATCAAAGCTAGTCATCTCCAGGAGGATAAGGTCAAACACGAAAGTCCACCCGACTATCACAATGGGACACTCCCGCACAATTCGGCTCAAAGACACTGAAACCCCAACTGGCGTATCAACACTCAACGCCCGTTCCAAGAAACTAACTTCCAACCCCGATGCAAGTGCAAATGATGATGAAATGAAAGAATGAGATGCACCAGAGTCAAACAAAACACGGGCCCAACAACCAAACACTGGAAATATACCTCGAAGAACTGACGGTCCAGAAGATGCATCGGTCTGTGCCAGTGCAAAAACACGTCCCTGTGGTACCTGTGCCTGAGGACTGCCAACCTGAACACCTGACTGCCACACTGACATAGTAGGAGTATCCCTCCTAACTGATCGTGAACCCTGTAAAGACATGGCAGGCTGTGGTGGTGGCAGTCTGAAACCTGACTGAACTGTAACCGACTGAGACGGCCTCTGTCGTGACCCCCTACCACTACCTGTGCCTGTTCCCTGGCCTGGACAATCACGAATCAAGTGACCCTGCTGGCCACACCCATAACAAGCCTTCGGAGCTGACGAAACTGAAGACGATCTCATCGGACAACTGGACTTGTAATATCCGGGCTGCTGACACTGATAACAAACAACTGCACTCCTGTCAGATCCAGCTGGCATAGGAGTGGTAGGAGCAGATCTTGTAGACTGTTGCCCCTGAAACTGAGATGGATTGCCCCTGTTCCTTTTCCAAGAAGATCCCTCTGAGGATGGCCCTGCACCCCTCTTTTGCTTCAATTGCTCTCTTCTTGCATCCTTCTCTCTATTGTCAGCCTCCAGCATCAAAGCTCTTTCCACTGCTTCAGAGTAAACCTTAATAAACTGTGCCGTGATCAACGGCCTCATTCGATCATTAAGACCCGAGACAAACTTCCGAGTCTTGTTAGCTTCATCTCTCACCATTTCTGGAACAAAACGGGAGAGTGAGGTGAACTTGTTCTCATACTCCGCCACTGACATGTTCCCTTGAATAAGATTATGAAACTGGTCTTGTAACTCCCATCTTTTGGAAAGCGGAAAGTACTTCTCATAAAACAGTTCCTTGAACCTGTCCCAACTCATCTTTTCAATCTTGTACTGGTTAGTGATTGACTTCCACCAAACCTTGGCATCCATAGCAAACTTATACGTAGCTAGGATGATCTTCAAGTGATCCTCTGTCACATCCATTGAGGTCAACTGAGTTTCGACTTGATCCATGTAGTTGTCGGCTACCATTGGATCCGCACCGCCCTCAAACATAACCGGCATCAGCTGAGAAAACCCCTTAATGATCTTGAGACGCTTCTGAGCTGGAGTCTCCTCAACTCGGACTGTAGGTTGTGGTACCAACTGCGGCTGAGCAACAATCGTTGCCCTCACGACATTTTGCAACAAACGATTAAACTCCAGTGCCATAGAACCTTCACCCACTTCTACGGGTGCTTCAACATTATCCCTCCTTGTGGGGACAACTCTCGGGGGAATCAAGTCCCTAAGAAGTGTGTTCTCATTAACTGGCTCCGCCGGATTGGAGCTAGAGCTCTCACCAACATTGCCCCTTGTTGGCCTAGGGCCAACTTCTCTAGGTTCCTCACGCCGTGACATCGTGCTATAAAACGAGAAAACGATTCAGAAACATGAGACTAAGGTCCACTGTGGATGACTCAACAAGAATTGATACCGTACAACACTTAGCATGCAAGACTATGCAAGAAACATTTTAACATAAACAAGCAAGCAAGTAAGCACATAGGCAGTTAAGCATGCTCATTTGAATAAGATACCACGTAGCAATTAGTCAAGTAAACAATACAAACAACATCCCATGCGACTCTATGTAGGCCTCTACCCGTCGTCCTAAAGGTTTTCGAACCTGGCTCTGATACCAAATTTGTAATGACCCTAACTGATGCCAAGAATTTTTTTTTTTTTTTTTTTTTTTTTTTTTTTTTTTTTTTTTAAAATTCGGCATAACCTCCCCTAAAAATGGACCTACCGCAACCTGTTTAATTGCATTTTTAACCTGTCACGGCTCAAATTCCGAATTCACGGCAATAGTAGATGATAATACACAATCAAATGACCTCGATAATACCTCAAACTAGTATTACTCTCCCCATGCATCAATAAGGTTTACATGTTATCAAATTTACATCCAAAGTATCATCAAATACCTTAATTACATTACATAACAAAGTTTTGCAAAATATACATATACACCTTCACACTTTTAGTGCTTTGCAAAAATAATGGGAGATATACAAAAGACACAAAAGTGAGCTTCTAGTATCGCTCAAGCTTGAGGTGGGTTATCGTCCACCGGTTCTTTTCCAAGATCTGAAAAAAATGTATAAATAGCAGGGTGAGCTATATGCTCAGTAGGTGACACTTAAGATACAAATCTTGTGTCCTTGTGAATTCAAGCAAAGCATAGGCCAATGGGAGATAGGGATCATACAACGTAGGGGATCAAATATAACATACAATTCAATTCCAATTATAAACAATGCAATGCAATGCAATGAAATGCAATGCATGTCAATGACACTCCCCATTCTCATTCTCAAGATCATCACTTTCAAACGTTAATACAGCTCGCCCTTTGGTAACCCCACCGCGACACGAGATGAGGATTGGCTAGTGTCCCTGACCCTTGGTAACCCCGCGGCGTCATTATGGGGCCCAGCTAGCTCAACCACACTAGGGCGACTCCCTAGTCCCCTCTAGGCTATATTAACCTCCGGCCCGTTGGTAACCCCGCAGCGACCGGGTTTCGCATAAAACCATTTTATCAAAAACACTTCCCTGAAATTCCCCATATTTATTTCAAGAACAATTTCGCCCATTTCATGCAAACCCAATGGTATGTGCATGTATATATGTTCCATACATTCAATGTCATGGATTTTCCATCATAAAATTAAACATTCAACATGTTCAACATCTCCCAAGTAATTATTAACACATTAAGATACAACAAAATACATTTAAGCATATGCATGTATATATATTTATGAGCTCAACATCATGAATTGGGAAATTTGGCGCAATTTAAATAAGCATACTCTCATACATCAATTTCAGCATGCTAGCACATAGTAAACATAGGAAATCAACAACTAAATATAATTTGCACATGAACCAACCATATTCAAGATTGTGAAAACCCTCTAGACATCATTAATACCATCATAGATATAATTAACTCTAAATTAAGCATATTTAATACAACATGGAGGTAAAATTCACAATAGAACAAGACTAGAGTGGATTAAGATGCCCCTACCTCAAAAATGAGCAAACCCTAGAAAATGGGTCCTAAATTTCGAAGTTCAAAGGGTGCACCAAATCTGGAATTGTTGGTATGTATGCGTAGAGCTCGACACAAGCTTCGTTTTGCCTCAAACGGCACCTCAATCCGACAAAAGGTGGAGGAGTAATCTAAGAATGAAGTTTGAGTTCAGAAAGAAAAAGAAAAAACAAGAAACAGAGACAGAAGGAAGGGCCAGCGGGAGAGAAGAAAAATGGAGACCAATTGTGGTCTCAAACCCTTTTTGGGTGTGGTGGTGGGTCCCACCAAAATTTTAATTTGCTTTCTCTTTTTTCTTTTACTCAATGTACATCACACACACAGACATATATATATATATAAAGGCACAAACATTACAGCTATGGTGATGCCATTAGAAAAATTGTCAATGACCCTTCAAGTTCCATTCAGTTGCAGGGGTTGCCATTGCTCAGTAGCCGCGACCTTCCATCTTTTCCAAGTCCCTCCACACATAGACATATACAGATGGGTATTCCTGACAATGAAAGAACAGTTAGACTTGCTTAGTGCCAAAACCAACCCAAAAATACTCGTAAACACATTCGATGCAATAGAGCCAGAAGCCTTAAGAGCTTTGGAGAAGCACAATTTGATCCCAATAGGACCATTAATGGTCCCCTGTGATGCTTCCTTCAAAAGAGACCTCTTTCAAAAATCACACGGTTATGTTCAATGGTTAGATTCGAAGCCCGAATCATCTATTGTTTACGTATCATTCGGAAGCACAGCTGTGTTGTCGAAGCAACAAATGGAGGAGATCGCACGCGGGTTGTTGGAAAGCCATAAGCCATTTATGTGGGTGATAAGAGCAAAAGAAAATGGCGAGAGAGAGGATAATAAATTGAGTTGCTTAGAAGAATTGGAACAAGAAGGATTGATAGTGCCATGGTGTTCTCAAGTGGAGGTTCTATCACACCCATCAGTGGGATGTTTTTTTACTCACTGTGGGTGGAATTCTTCATTGGAGTGTTTAGTTTCTGGGGTTCCGGTGGTGGGGTTTCCGCAGTGGATAGATCAAACGACGAATGCAAAGCTTATCCAAGATGTTTGGAAGATGGGGGTTAGAGTGGTGGCAAATGAAGAAGGAAGAGTGGACAGGGAGGAAATTATGAGGTGCATAGAAATGGTGATGGGGGGAGGAGAAAGGGGAAGAGAAATGAAAGGAAACGCGAAGAAATGGAAGGAATTGGCATGGGAAGCTATGAAGGATGGTGGATCATTGGATATGAATCTTAAGGCTTTTGTGGACGGACTTGGAAATGGTCATTAGTAGCTGGGAGTGAACTCTATTCATGAAAATGGGTAGGAACCGGCAAGGGAAGTTGTGAAGGAAAGTGGGTCCTCTGACATGAATCTTAAAGCTTTTGTGAGAGGTTGGAAATTAATAGGTTGATTAGTAGGATGGATTTTGTTATTGATTGAATCTTCATTTTTGTTCACTTCTGATTTTCTTTTCGCTATGTTGTCAGATTTGCAAATTCATGTGATACCTGCTTAAAAGATCATGTATTTGGTACGCTTTTTAAAAATCAATTAAAACAGCAGGGTGTGTATGTAATATGAATTGGCTTCATTTTTCATATTATAGGGTGATTTCAAAACTGGAGGTAAAGAGAACATTGTTGCGTAGACAAGATGATGCTGTGCACAATTCTTCTAGTAGAAAACTAGAGTTCAGTTTTTGGACATTGATGCTTGTCATCACATTTCGCCAGTCCTAGATGAATTTTAGTTTGATGCTCGAACCCATTGTAGATTTTGAACCTATCTGACTTTTATTTTTGTAATAAAATACTTGATGAGGATTTTGGGTTTCTGTTTGATCGTTCTTTTACAACTTCTGGTGACTTCTTGAATCTTGACACCACAACTTTATTTGTACTAAAGAATTTCGACTTCTATACTTGAGTCCAAATCAAAGTTTACAAAACCAAAAAAAAATTAAATAAAATTAAATAATTTTTTTAAAAAAAAAATTCACACATTGGAGCAGTAGATCTCTCTTATGGAGGAAGGTTGCAACTGGTGAAGACAGTGCTATATAACACCCAAACATAATGGTCTACATTATTTAACTTGCCCAAATCAGTGATAACTTAACTCTATTTTCAGATTATTTCTGTGGTCAGGTTTTGAGCTAAAAAAAGTGGAGCAAAAGTAGCTAAATCTACAGGTGGTTTGGGCCTCTAGAATTTAGAAGCAACCAACAAAGCAGGTGTGCTTAGACATCTATGGGCTCCACTTTGTAACAACACACAGAGCATATGGGTTAAGTGTGCAAGAACATACCTGATTAAAGAGAAGAACCTGTGGGACATGAAAATAGGTCAGCAAAGCTCATGGAGTTGGAGAAAACTGCTTCAACTGAGGCAATTAGCAAGTCCAGTAGTCAAATTCAGAGTTGGAGATGGTACAAGTTGCTACTTTTGGACTGACAGTTGGCTACCAAATGGAGCTTTACAGCATAGAGTCCTCCCAGCCACACTACATAACACGAGTTCCAATCAATGCCAAGGTCAACATGTTCATTTTAGGATTGGAACAGACACATTTCCTCTTGTCTCACCCAAGTATTTCCTTAGCTCTCATCACTTCCACTCCAGCGTTATCAAAGTTTCCAGACATACTAACGCGCTGGAGGTCCTTTGGAACCTCGGCACAAGATGAGATGCGCGCTTGAGTGAAGCAACACACATAATTGAAAAAATTACATTACCATTAAAGCATTCATATTTCATATTTAAGGCGCAAGTGTTGCCCCGGTATGAGCGTGAAGCCTACGTGTACCTTTTGACAACACTATTCCACCCCCACAAACCCCTTTGTTCAAGACCAGCCCCTTTGTATCCCCTCACCAAATCATTCATACTACAGTCATGCTAGAGAACACAAAGTGCAGGACTTTTTACATATTATAGGCTCGACTTTTCTTGGACTTTTTTCTCTCCTTCACATTAGAAAACATTGTTCGATAGATTTTCAAGTTCGTTTCCCAACAAGAAAATTATCACAAAACATGTGGCTATATATATTGCTGTGCACAAACAGCGGATGGGTGGTATGGGTCAAGAGAATTAGATAAACATAAACAGAAAAGTAAAATTTTGATAGAAAGGGCATCCTATAATAAGCAAGAAAATTTTCAGTGACCCAAAATTTCCCCATTCAGGACATTTTATTGACTCAAATCACAAATCCACTGCGAATCACATTAATATTGATCTCAAACTGTCTCTCATCTACCATTCTTATTATCTTTTCGCTATGTGAACATAGCTCATTTTATACATTAGCAACAACATGTTTATATATATATATATATATATGAGTTAGGCTATGACGAGGGTGTTCTAAGGAACAGCTCAAGCCTTCATTCGCTAGATCCCAAGTATGAGGATGCGAGTTCACTTATATATGGATTATAGAGAAAGAAATGTATCACAAGTTTTAACTGCTCAACTTACTTTTAAGCCTGACACAGCTATTTATAATTTATACCTATAAAACCTTACTGTGTTTGTACAAGTATAAGTGATTACTTTCTATTGATTTGTTTATTCTCTGTTAATTAAATGGTATGGTAATTTTCTTTTTTGTAAAATGAAAAGTTGGGAGTGTCTCCAATAAAATAATTATTGGTGCCATTGAATAATTTACCAGTCAAAAAAAAAAAAAAAAAAAAAAGATGATTGAAAAAACACGAATTCAATCACAGTCCTGAAGACTGTCTAAAGTTTGAATCTCCAATCAAATAATCATGGGTGCAATTCTATAATTAATATTTGAAAGCAAAAATAAATAAATATAAAAATAAAAAATCAAATCAAATAAAAATTGATTGAAAACGCAAGAATAGAGAGTCCTCAAGTCTGTCATCACAAGCAAGGACGGACTCAGAAAACTTTTTTTTGGGGGGGAGTAGTGAAATTTTGTAGTAATTTTAGTAGGGGCAATAGTAAAATTTTATAGGTATATAATTCAAAAAGAAAAAATTAGTAAGGTTATAATACGGAATATAAAAATTCAGTGAGGGGCAATTGTCCTTACTGAATTACATATAGATCTGCTCATAAGTTCAATATGAAGAAGTACCAATGGATAGTGATGAAATAAAAAAAAAAAATGCTCATCATTACCGTTTAGACTATAAGTTTTAATGTTTGATACTGCTACAAGCTAAGTTATAATATTTCCAAACTAGATATACCAAGTCGAGGGTCAAAGGTCTCTAGAACTTGGGGACCAAGTTTTGATGTATTAGCTCAAAATGTTGTCATGCCATGCATCACAAACACAACTATCTAAGAAACACTTTATCGTTGTCATGTTTTGCATCACAAACACAACTATCCAAGATACTTTATCCTCAAAATGTTGCCATGCCTAGGACTTGTCAAATTTGTACCAATATAACCACACACCCATGTCCAATAAAATTTGAAGTCAAAAGAAAGGAAATGTCATGCAGGTCTGTTTTGCATCACAAACTCAACTATCCAAGATACTTTATCCTCAAAATGTTGCCATGCCTAGGACTTGTCAAATTTGTACCAATATAACCACACACCCATGTCCAATAAAATTTGAAGTCAAAAGAAAGGAAATGTCATGCAGGTCTAGCTCCAATCCTTACACATATATTAACCCCCACATCCCACCGCATTTCCATACACATCTAACTTTGCTTTCTCTTCACTTGTCACTCACAAGCTCAATTTTTAGTTTGGCATTGCACATCCCATTTTCATACATAGCCTTCACTTCATCTGTGAAACACAAACAACCTTTTGCATCAGTAATCCCATCAAATCTCTCTCTCATTCACTATGGTGGACTGCCACATTCTCATTTTTACTTTTCCGGGGCAAGGTCACATCAGTCCGTCGATCCAATTCGCCAAGAACCTCATACGAATGGGTGTTAAGGTCACCATTATCACAAGTCTCTCCGCTCACCGTCGCTTCACCAAATCCAACAGCTCAATCCCAAAAGGCTTGTCCTTATCTGCCTTCTCCGATGGCTACGATGATGGTTTCAAAGATGGGGACAACTACGAACTTTTCCATTCTGAACTCAAAATTCGCAGTTCCAAAGCCATAGCAGAACTCATCAAGGCCAGTGATGAAGAAGGCTACCCAATAACTTGTTTGGTCTACACTATGGTTCAAACATGGGCTGCTGAAGTTGCTCTTGCCCATCACATCCCTTCCGCAGTTCTATGGACTCAACCAGCCATAGTTTTCGATATCTACTACTATTACTTCAATGGCTATGGTGATGCCATTAGAAAAAAGGGCAATGACCCTTCAAGCTCTATTCAGTTTCCGGGTTTGCCATTGCTCGGTAGCCTTGACCTTCCCTCCTTTCTAGTCCCTCCACACACAGACAAATACAGTTGGGCACTCCCATTTTATAAAAAGCAGCTAGACATGCTTAATGCCGAAACCAATCCAAAAATACTCGTGAACACATTCGACGCATTAGAGCCAGAGGCCTTAAGAGCAATTGCGAAGCTCAATTTGATCCCAATAGGACCATTAATAGTTCCCTCTGATGCTTCCTTTACAGGAGACCTCTTTCAAAAATCAAATGGTTATGTTGAGTGGTTAAATTCGAAGCCCGACTCATCTGTTGTTTACGTATCATTTGGAAGCATAGCCGTGTTGTCAAAGCAACAAGTGGAGGAGATTGCACAGGGGTTGTTGGAAAGCCATAGGCCATTTATGTGGGTGATAAGAGCAAAAGAAAATGGTGAGAGAGATGAAGATAAATTGAGTTGCTTAGAGGAATTGGGACAAGAAGGATTGATAGTGCCATGGTGTTCTCAAGTGGAGGTTCTATCACACCCTTCAGTGGGATGTTTTTTGAGTCATTTGGGTGGAATTCTTCGTTGGAGTGTTTGGTTTCTGGGGTTCCGGTGGTGGGGTTTCCACAGTGTGCTGATCAAATGACAAATGCAAAACTTATCGAAGATGTTTGGAAGATGGGGGTGAGAGTTGTGGCAAATGAAGAAGGAATAGTGGACAGGGAGGAGATTAGGAGGTGTATAGAAATGGTGATGGGAGGAGGAGAAAGGGGAAGAGAAATGAAAGGAAACGCGAATAAATGGAAGAAATTGGCACGGGAAGCTATGAAGGATGGTGGATCATTGGATATGAATCTTAAGGCTTTTGTGGACGGACTTCAAGATGGTCATTAGTGGCTTGTAGTGAACTTCATTCATGAAATGAAAACTCTGTATTTGAAAGAAATGATCATGCTTTGATTGGTTGATTCTTTTTATTTATTTGCTTGGATCTACTTGTTCTTTGTTGGTGGCATTTGTAGCTCAGTCTAGCATTTGGTATATTAAATTAAGTATAAGCAATAAAATTATTAGATTCTAACGGAAATATGACATCTTTCCTACTGTTCTCATTCCAAATGTTCCTTCCTTTCTTGATCTATTACTGCCTACTTTTATATGTGTGTGTGTGTGTACATTTTAACTTTCTGGAAATTAAATACCAACAAGTTTTATCTTTGTGATATATTTCATTTATTGACGAGCAATAATCTATACCCTGCACCTTTTGAAAGGAAGAGTTTTTGGGAGGGACCAAAACCTATTGGCTTACCACTTTTTTTAATCTCTAACCTACACATTTTTGGGGGTAAAGGGTAAATTTGTACAGAAGAAGAAAATTAATACACAAGACCAAAGAAGGCCCACATGAGATAAATAGTAAGTAGTAACAGACAAAAGCCAACCAAATGCTAAACGAACCTAACAGTTACAAAGCAACTCTGAAAAAACCTCAAGCAGCCAAATAACTA